CTCTTATTAATGCATGTACTTGATTCATTTGTCATGAAAAAAACTTCGAAACTCATTTTTCTTTATTAATTATGTATTTACATTTTATTTCTTAATTTAATACTAAAATCTTTTAAAAATAATTTATTGTTTAATAATTTATTTTAGTTACATAAAAATAAATAAAAATTACGGTTTATATATTAAAATATTAATAGTGAATTATTATAAAGTATATTTTTATTATAATTATATTTTTTTATTTTTTTATTTTTATTATAGTTTAATTTGATCTATTTATATATAATAATATTTTTAAAATTTATTTATAATATATATCTTATTATTTTTTTGAATGGTTAAAATGATAAATATATCATTTAAATTATTTTATTTTAAATTTTAAATGAAAGATTATTGTTAAATTAAAATAATTAAAATATTATTTTAAATTAAAATATTAAAATAATTGATAATATTTTTAATAAAATATTTCATATATAAAAATATTATTAATGAATTATCTTAAAATATTTTTTATATTTTATTATAGATTAAGCTGATATATTTTATATATCATAGTATTAATAACTAATAAGTGTAAATATAACTTAAATGTTATATTCTTAATTGCAGTATAATGTCTAAAATTGACATTTTTTAAGAATAAACTTTTAACATTAATGTCAAACAGTTAAATTTTAAATTATACTTCTAAAAAATATTTTTATAACAGTTTTAAAAGATTTAAAGTTGCTTTTCAAAATCAATACCAAACTATCCCTTTGAACTCCATGACAAACTCAACAACTCTTCAATTATTTATAATTATAATATGATTTAAGACTTGTCTTTCCTACTTTAATCTAATTTGTTCCATAGTATCATTTCCCTCACTCAAAAATCATTGATGCAATTGTATAATAATAGTTTGATAATGTACAAATATATATATAATATACCATATTATTTTAATTTTAAACATTCCAGTCGATTAGAACTCATCGAATGGCTTCAATGGTGAAAAGAAATGTTGTATTTTTAAAAGATTCAACTTCGAACAGTTGTGTTTAAAGATGTGTATTGTCAATAACTAAGAAAGAGTATGAACAAATACTAACTTATAATCATTTCATACTATTCAAAATATTATACAAACAAAATTTTTAATCTAATTTAGTGGTTAAACACCAGACACTTTGTAAAAGGGTTATAGGCAATAACAAACGAATCCATGTTATCATTAGTTTTTAAACATCCGCTTATAAAAAATCGATAATTCTATTAAAAATAATTTAGTGATTAAAATAGAAAATTGATAAATTGATGACCAATTATATAAATTTTATAGTAAAATAATAAAGTTCATAAATTTATTATAACAATAACAATTCGAACCGAATGTAAAAGTTAAAATGTAATATGACAGATACAATTTTTTTTCCAATTTATAACAACAACAATAATAGCTAAAATGTTATAGAATTTGATTGTTTGATTTTTATTATTATTTTTTTTGTTTTGGATTAAATAAAATAAATTATAAATAATTATAAATACACGATTTTTTTGAAATCTTATCATAGGATATGTTCTAATATAAAAAGGGCAAACTACATAGTTGGTCACATTTGTTTCAGTTTTTATAAACATATGATCATTCCACTCAAAAAACATAATTCATAATCACTTTCGTTTCATTTTAATTAAAATGTTGTCATTTTTGTTTCTTTTTAATTAAGATGTGGCCATGTACCCTAAACAACCATTAAAGGTTTAGTGATTTGATGACATGACATGTTAATAAAATATTTTCATTTTCATTTTAGCCTTTGAATTTAGATAAAATTTAATTATGGACTTTTTTTTATACATCTAAAGCAATTTACAGACAAATTTTCAATTTACCACTTTTAATATGCTTTTATTCTTAATCCCCCTTACACCGCACACCCCATCTGCTGCTCCTCCTCCAACTATGACAGTCGCGGAAGTCAGTTTAACAATTCTTTAATTTTTGTTTGACGGCGGCTTTGCCATAGCCGGAGGATGAGGAGATGGGGTGAGCGGTGTAAGGGGAGCATATTAAAAAATGGTAAATTGCAAAGCTTGTCCTGAAACTGCTTTAGATTTACGGGAAAAAAAATCCATAATTAAACTTTATTTAATGTTCAAGGGTTAAAACAAAAATTAAACCATTTTATTAACGTGTCACATTATAAAATCGTCAAACTTTTAATGACTGTTTAGGATAAGTTACCACATCGTAATTAAAACGAAACGAAAGTGAATACGAATTAAGTTTTTTGAATTGAATGATGATACATTTACAAAACTGAAATCTGTAGCTTACCTATAAAAAAGAGATAATGAGATTATATCATCAAATTTTATTTTTATTTATAATATCACGATATTGAATTAAATGACATTTTTAACCAAATAAGATGATGTAATCTTTTAATTGCGAATAAATATGTATCACGTAAGATCGAGCTTTTGTCATCCCAACAATGTTATATGTTGAAAACTAATACTTGAGAAATATTCTCTATTTCATATCTCAAAAATACAATACAACTTCTGAAATTGAAAAAAAAAATAACACCTAACTAAATACAAACTGAAAATAGTTACAAAATAACTTCTATTCTACGACTGCTAACACTCCCACTCAAGTTGGTGGGTGAAAATGTTTTTTACCTCTAACTTGGACATTAGATAACTATGTTGTTGAGAGCTCAAAGCCTTTGTAAAAATATCAGTTAGCTGATTTGTTGTAGAAACATGTTATGTGCAGATGAGTCTTTCCTCAATCTTTTCTCTAACAAAATGACAGTCTATCTCGATATGTTTAGTTCATTTGTGATAGACAGGATTCGCTGCTATTTGCAAGGCTGCTTTATTCACACAATGTAGCTTGACTGGTTGCTTTCTCTCAAAACCAAGTTCAGCTAACAATCCATTCAACCAAACTAATTCTGTAGTAGCTACCTCCATACTTTTATACTCTGCTTCAACAGATGACCTTGCCACAGTTTGCTGTTTTATTTATTTCCACGAGATCAAAGAGTTTCCCAATTTGATACAAAAACTTGAAACTGATCTTCTTGTAGCAGGGCAAGAAGCCCAATCCAAGTCGCCCAGGTGAATAAAGAATAATCACGATTCTGCTATTTTTTCGGTGAATAAAGAATAATCATATTTGCTTTGTTTGTAACCCGCACTTATCAAAGCTTCTGTCAATTTTAAGTTCCACTGCCTAGATGCTTGTCTCAAATCATAAAAAGACTTTTGCAATCGACACACTTTATGCTCCCCCTGACTGCAAAAACCTTCTGGTAATTCCATATAAACTTCTTCGACTAAATCACCTTGCAAGAAAGCATTATAGACATCGAGGTGCAGCAAGGGCCAATTAAACATAGACGCCAAAGCAAGAACCGAACGAAAGGTCACTATCTTCACAACAAGAGAGAACGTATCAACAAAGTCCACGCCCTCACGCTGACTATAACCTTAGGCCACCAAGTGGTCCTTGAATCGTTCAACATCACCAGAAGCAGTATACTTTATCTTATAAGTCGATTTTCATCCAATCCGAACCTTCCCCGGAGGTAAGGAAACCACCGTCCACTTCTTATTTGATTCAAGTGCTTGAATCTCTTCTTTCATAGCTTGAACTCATTGAAGGTGTTTAATGGCTTCTTGGAAGATTTTTGGTTCAGAAAAAAGAAAAATAGAAGACAAAAAAGATTGAGTAGAAACATGCAAATGGTCATAAGATATATAGTTGCTAATAGGATAAGGAATAGATGATCGAGTATTGCAAACAAAATCATTTAACCATTATGGTTGTTTGGACACACGAGAAGACTTCCTAGGACAAACCGAAGCTGCTGGAACAGAATAATGAACCTCTTGGGATGATTGCTCCATGGTATGAATAGGTGGAGATGGAGGAAGAGGTGAACTGGTAGTTTGAGGACTTGGTTGCAAAACAGGTGGACTAGAATCAGTTGCTGGTTGAGGTAACAAAACAAAAAAATCTGATCTAGGACAGTAGGATTTGAGGGAAAAATATGAGAAGTTTGTTTAAGAAAGCTGAAAGGAAAGATGTGTTCATGAAAAATGACATCTCTACTAACAAAAATTTATGAGATTCCAAATTAAACAAGAGAAAGCCCTTTTGAGTGTTCGAATATCCTAACAAATATAAGGTAACGCACGTGAAGCAAATTTGTCTAGATGATGTAAATTTGTGGCATAAGAAAGACAACCAAAGACTCTAAGGTCTGTCAAATTAGGAGGTTTATGGTACAAACTTTCATAAGGAGTTTTCCAACCTAGAACAATAGTAGGCAATCGATTTATTAAGTAACAGGCCGTAAGGACACATTCACCCCAAAATTTAATGGGAACATTGGACTGAAACCTAAGGGCTCAGGCAACTTCAAGAAGATGCATATGCTTTCTCTCAACTACACCATTTTGCTGAGGGGTACAAACACATGAACTTTGATGCAATATGCCAAGAGATGAGAACAAGGACGAACACACCGAACCAAAAAACTAGGACCTATTTTTTTTTTTATAGGAACTAGGACCTATTTTCACTATGGATAGTTTGGACAGTGGCAGATAAATGTGTTTTAACAAAAAATTTTAAGAAATAGACCAACATCATTCTTAACACGCAAAAGGTATACCCAAGTCATAAGAAAAAAATCATCCACAATGGTCAAGAAATACTTATGGCCACTATGAGTAGAAAAACGATAGGGCCCCATAAGTCTAAGTGTATAAGCTCAATCTAGTTTTAAAGAATAAGAGCATGATCAAGATCATCAACAATACAAGAAATTTTTTCATAGTAGTAGAAGAGGCATGTCCTAATCGAGCATGCCAAAGAGAAGTTTTATTAGAACTTGAAAAATTCAAAGACAATTGAGCAGAATTATCAAAACCATCATGCTTATAAGACAAAGAACTACTACAATAAGTACCAGAAAACAAACCAGCAGCTTCTTTATGAGATTCAAAGTAATAAAGCCCCTTATACTCTTTACCAATCCCCATGATCTTGCCATTGAAGTGATCCTGCAAGACACAAATATTAGGAAAGAAGAAAATGACAAAATTTTGCTCTCGATCTAATTTGCAGACAGAAAGAAGATTGTGAGAAAAACTAGGAACATGAAGCACATTGGAAACTCGAATATCATTGTTTAAACGACAAGACCCGCTATGTGTGAGAAGCTCAGTGTTTACCATTAGGCATATGGACAAAACGAGGGTTCAAGAAGAAATAGGATTTTCTAAGCCCTTGAAAACAGATAAGATGTGATCAATAGCTCCTATATAAAAAATCCAAACCAGAGAATTACTAACAACATGTAAACCACAAGCAACATTACCTGCAAGATTCCCACAGGAATCTGAAGTAGGAGCCTGATTTAACAAACCCAAGATCTGGTTATACTGCTCAGAAGTAAATGTGGGCACGACTGAAGCAGGAGAAGAAATCAGCAAACCAAGATCCTTGCTCAAATCGTTGGACTCAGCTCCCATTGCCATAGCTGCCTGAGGAGACTTCTTCCGAGTAAATTTGAAGTCAGGAGGAAACCCTATCAGACGATAGAAGTTCTCCTTTCGATGCCCTTTGATCTTACAATATTCACATGTCCCTGAAAAACGTCTTCGATCTGCCCCTTTCAAAACATTGGAGAACATAACAAAAGTCTCAATAGATCCCTCGGAAAGCTGTAATCGTTGAGATTCCTCTTGGGCAATGATAGAATAAGCTTGATTTACAGTGGACAACGGCCTCATGATTAATATTTGGCTTCTTATCGTCGAATACGTTTCATTCAAACCCATCAGAAACTAAAAGAGTTTCTTATGGACAATATGAGCTGAGTTCTGCTATGCAACCTCACAATTGCAAGAGGAAACGAGCTAAACTCATCCCATAACTGCTTAAGACGGGAGTAATAAACAGAAACGGAAGAGTCTCCCTGTACCAACGTAGCTATCGATCAGTGAAGGAAGAAACCCCTAGAACTGTCGATTTTGTCGAAACGCTCCTTCAAATCATCCCAAACGACAGCACTTGAAGCAAAAACGATCCCACTGATAATTCTTGACTCACTGAGTTAAGAATCCATGAAAGAACAATGGCATTACATCGCTCCCACTGCGGATGAAGCAGCAAATCATATTGCTCTTTGCAACAGTCGCCATTGACGAAGCGAAGTTTGTTCTTCGCCAACAACGCGATCCTCATGGAGCGACTCCAAACGCTGTAATTATCAAGTCCGACGAGCTGATGCGAAACGAGATGCACGCCTAGAGCATCGGATGGGTGCAGGTAAAGGGAATGATTGCTATCAATCTCCATTGAAAAAGGTAGAAGAAACCAAAAAAAAAAAAAGGGTCAGAAATCCAAGTGGAAAAACAGAAGAAATAGGGGCCAAAAAACCCCAACAAACTAACAAATCGGGCCTCAACACCTTACTCTTGATACTATGTTGAAAATTAATACTAGGGAAATATTTTCTCTATTTCATATCTCAAAAATACAATATGAGCATTATATTTATACGAACTTTTGAAACTGAAAAAATAATAACTAACTAAATGCAAACTGAAAATAGTTACAAAATAACTTCTATTCTACATCTGTTAACATTATATTTTTATTCGATATTCTATTCAAATTAAGTTTAAAAGAATTTCATCCTGTAACATCCGTAGTCCATATATGTCTCGATATATGAACTAAAAATATCACATTAATTTGACAATTATTTTATGAGCATAAAGACTTAAACTCTCGTTTCTTTTTAAACTTTCATTGTTTTAACATAAAAACTTTACCTTATTCATATAAAATCATAAAAGAATATTTAATCATTGAAATAAATTCAATTTCAATCAGTAAGCAGTTCAGAGCTGATCATAACTATATATCACTGCTTAAATATTGTTTAATTTAAAAACTATTAAAAATATAACATTTATATTATTCATTCAAAAATACGATTAAATAGTAAAATTAGTCAAAACTAAAACAAAGAATCATAGTTACTATTATATACCCTTTTAAAATAAATTCCATAAAGCATATCATCAGGTGTAATTTATATGTCACTAATAAGTCAAAGATAGGATGTCTTACTGATTCTGTAGATAGATTTGATTTCCATAAGATGCTTAGATAACTCATCACTTCACATTGTTTTCTTTACTCGAACCTACGCATAAAATTTTTCACGCGTTAAGTAAAACTTAGTGAGACGGTAATATAGCTAAAAATGAGATAAAACATAAATTTCATAAAATATTATAAACATAAATCTGTAATTTAAATAAAAGCAATAAAACTTTCAAACCAGGCTATTCATGCAGTTTTCATCTTGAAAAGCTGAAAAATCATTATCTCATGATTTTATTAAAAATCATGTAAATCAATATAAAATATCATAAACAACTTATGTTCTTTTCATTTAAACATATTTCAAAACTTTCTTTTCAATTCTATGTTCATTTCTTTCATATTCTGTCATAACTTTCACATTTACTTTTATAGTTCAATGTATATGTAAGAGAATACAAGGTATGTGAGTCAGACGAGTGTGCGTACTAAGCACTTTAGTGTTATCATCTCAATCAGAACATATCACCACACACAGTGTTATCATATCAAAATCATAATATAGACACAAAATGCAATCACATCTGAAATATACTAGTGTACCTACCGATAACACCACAATATGTCATAAACACACATGGTGCTATCACATCGGAATCATAATATGCCCACAAAGTACAATCACTCTACCTCATGACATGTCAATTGTACCAACGACTCTCAATGCAATATACAATGGGCTTTATTTTAAATTCATATAATTTATAATTCAATGTTTCCAATCAATAGCATTTTTTCAATAGCATTCTCAGAAAAATCATAATTTGAGTGAATCATACCCTAAACATTCATAAAGCATTCATGCAAACATTAAATAAATAATTGTATTTAAAATATAAACATACTTTAAAATAATATGAGGTTGACTTATCACAAGTCATCTTCAATCAAATTAATCAAATAAATTATTGCACTCATTTTACACTTTACTTATAAATCAAAATATAAGCCTCTCTAAGATTTAGGTTTATTCCTTTGCTTTAAATTTCTTTAATTACACAATTTTTCAAAATTTCATATTCTAGCAGTTTGCAGTACCTTCAAAGAAATATTATTCTGTATTAATATACATATTAAAAAAATATTCTGTTTGTAGTGATGAAAACTAGACTCAAATATAAATATAACCATATAATGAAATCCTTCTAGTTTCACTTGTACACTTTATAGCGGATTTTTAAAGTTTATTGACAGAAGACGTTTCGGGCAGAATCTGCTGCCATGTTTTCTGACCTATCACCGATTAAAAAATTCATATCTTTTTGTATATTCTTCGAAATCAATTACCATTTGTTCTAAACGAAACTAGACTGATATAGAAATCCAATAGTATAATATTCATCATTCAATTATCTTTTTTATAATTTCTGGTGATTTTCTAAACTTATTGTTTAGAACATAATTTCTAAGCAGATTTCACCAACTTGCATCATTAACTTATTCACTAATTCCACTAGCTTACTGTCGCAGCCATTTTTTTGGTAAAACAATTAAATATTGTTTTAAAAGTGGTTACGATTTTAATTTTGAAAAATTGGGGATTTTGAAATTAAATTGGATAGAGTCGCCATCGACCTTTGGGTTAGGTAGGTCGAATACCTAAAAGCGTTTTTTAAAAAAAAATTAAGAAAAATCATTTTTAAGACAAAAAACTGGTTTGCGTTTACAAAGACTCGATTAAAACGGGTTCGAGAGTCGGTTACAGTCAAGGAATGATTAGCACCCTTGAACTGTCCTTTCGCTACCATTTAATTTGTCGGTTGTCTTAATTACGAAGATTGAAATTTAAATTGAAATTTAAAAATTCAATTCGAATTGCTAACCTTTTATCGATTGAAATTACTACTGAAAAAGTCAAAAAGATGTTAGATGATAAAATAAAATATTGAATGCTAAACAAAAAGAATTTTAAAAGGTTAAATTAAGAAATAAGAATAAAAATAAGATAAAATAATAATAATAATAATAATGTCACAAGAGAAATAAATAAAAAAGAAGAAAATGTTAAAATAAAAAATTAAGAAAATGTTAATTTCTACCAGAAATACAAAAATTTAGGAAATAATAATAATAATAATATTTTTTAGAATAAAATATTAAAATGATATATATTAGAATATAGTGCCAAATAAAAAAAAGTAACAACAAAACGAAATAATAATAATAATATTAATAATAATAATAATAATAATAATAACAACAACAACTAAAATAAATTGCATGAAAAAATAAAGGGTTCAAAAATGAGATAATCACAACTTCATTTGATAAACATAGTAAAATATTTCAAAGGATCAAAGGACACCCCCACGTGAATATCCCACTGACCCAGAACAAGTAAATCACTCCTTTAAATAAATTGTTTATGCGTGAGCATAATGTAAATAAAATAATAATAATTATAATCATTATAATAAAGTAAAGTAAAAGAAAAAGTAGACTTAGGGAATCGAACCCACTTGATTTGTGGCAGCTTTTCTTTTCCACTCTTTTTTTTTCTTTTTTTTACTCTTCTTTGCTCTTTCTTCCTTCAACCGACAAGAGTCTCTCATTGTTCCGGTGCAAGTGATGATGGAGCTTTCGAACAGGTAAGGTTTTATCTTTTTTCGGTATACAGTTCTTTTTTCCTCCTGATTCGAATGGGTTTTTCTTGCTTCTCCCCGAATGCTCTATCACTGTTCTTGATCAAACCCCCACTGTATGTTCTCCTCCATTTTTATTCCCCGTATTTTTTCCTTGATTTTTCGTGTATTTTCTTTGAGTTTTTTCTTCAATCTCCCCCGTATATTTCTACCGTCCCTCTTGCATTTCTTCTTGTGTCTTCTTGGTGTGATTTCTATATGCATTTATAGGGCTAAAAAACCTATTTTTGGTTCGGTTTTAGACTCCTAATAGGACTAAAACTCTTGTTTTTTGTTATTTGTTGGTTGGCTTTGGAGTCTTACAACATCACGTCGCCAGGAAACTCGGAGGTGGAGGATGTTGAAATGGGTGTGCGATGCTAGGGAGGGTAGAAAATTAGGGTTTCAAAACACTAGTTGGTTCAGGTTATAACTTGGGTCAATTCGGGTTTGAACCGGGTCTCGGGTCGGGGCTCCATTCGTATTCGGATCCGGGCTGCAGTTGGGTTCTACTAAGTGTTGGGCTTGTACTTGTCAACAACTTGAAATGGGCTTCGGGTCTTGTGTTGTAATTGGGTTGGGATGCATGGGTTGTACCTAACAAAACAATGGAAAAATATTAGTTTAATAAAAATAATAATAACAATTGAGTGTCTACAATTACCCCTCTTTGTCCTTTTTCGTGTAACGAGAAATAGGACAAAGATAAAAGGACACAAATTTTCGTTCGGTATGAAGGGGTCGCTGAGTCTAATATCCTCCTTTGTGGAATTGGAAATCGAGTCTAATATTGCAATTAGGAACAATTCCTTGTTAAAATTGAGTTGCGAATGACTCCTCCGTCATGAAGTCGAGTCATTCTTGAAATGATTCCTTCTTCATGAAATTGAAAACGTAGTTCGGAATTTGAATCGGAAGGTGGCTTTTGGTTGCTAAATCGTAGTCAACCTTGGTCTTCTTCTCGGTTTAAATACCTTGGCTCGAAATTTCGATTGGTAAGTAGTTCCTTGACACTACCATGTATTTGATAGGCCCTCGAGCTGAATGGAATCGAACTCGAAAGTTTTCGTTGATAAATAGTTTTTCTAGACTTAAACTACGCTGCTGGAAGATAGTTTCTTGCCACTCAAACACGGCTAACTCATGTCTTCTTCTTGACTTAAAGACCTCGATTTAAACTTTAACCGAAAAGTAGTTGACACATCAACGAGCTGAATGAAATCGAACCCGAAAGTTTTAATTGACAGATAACCCTTCTTGCCTTGAGTTATGTTGTACTAAGCTAAGAGATTGCCCCATATCTTCTTCTTGACTTAAAGACCTCGGCTTCAACCGGAAAGTTTGAATGGAGTCGAGCTGAATAGAGTCAAACTCGATAGTTTTTATTGACAAATAGTTTTTATCGACTTATGTTATGCTATAAATTTGACATGTCTTTGAGCTGAATGGAATCGAACTCGAAGGTATTTGTTGACAGATAGTCATTCTCTCCTTGAGCTATGCTGTAAATTTGATATGTCCTTGAGCTGAATGTAATCGAACT